GATCTTCTTACCTCTCAAGTGCTTCACTTCTCAATCCTCAATTCGTAAGAGTGATGTCTCAAAAGTTAAGTTATCTCTCACTTGCATATCATCCATTGGAATTACATGGGACATATCCGGAACATACTTACGAAGTTGAGAAACATGAAATACACTATGAAGTTTTGAAAGACATGGTGGTAAGGCAACTCGATAGGCAACTTTGGAGACTCTCTTAAGGATCTGATTAGGACCAATAAAAAAAGGTGTAAGCTTTCGAGATTTCAATGCTCGACCAACCCAGTCACTAGAGTGACTCTCAAGAACATGCGATCTCCTTCCTGGAATTCAAGAGTTATTCTTCGCTTATCATGATAACTCTTCTATCTGCTCTGCGATGCCTTCATTTTTTCATGAATCATCTTAATCTTCTTGGTAGTCTGTTGAACAATCTTTGGTCCAAGCACAACACTATCACCTGATTCGTACCAACACAAGAGTGTTCTACACCTTCTACCATACAAATCTTTAAAAGGTTACATTCCAATACTAGAATGGAAACTATTGTTATAAGTAAACTTAATCAATGACAAATAACTATCCCAATTACCTCCTTGCTCTAAAACACAATTACTTAACAAATCTTCCAAAGATTGGATAGTCATTTCTATCTGATTGTCCGTCTGTGAATTCTAATCAGAACTCAACTTTAGCTTAGTCTCCAAGGCTACTTGTAAGCTCTCCCGAAATCTGATATGAACCTAAAATCTCTATCTGAAACAATGCTCGAAGGAATTCCATGTAGTCTCAATATCTCATTGATATGGATCTCTACTAGCTTCTTAACGGGTAACTGGTCTTTATTGGAACAAAATGAGCCAACTTAGTCAGCATATCTACAACAACCCAAATTGAATCACTCCCTTTAGTAGTTCTTGGAAAAACCACTACAAAACCCATAGAGATACTATCATACTTCCACTCAAGAATACTCAAAGGTTGCATCAATCCAGATGACTTCTGATACTCGATATTCAACTTCTGGCAAGTCAAACAATAATACACAAACTCTGCAACATCCTCCTTCATACCTGGACACCAAAATATTTTCTTAAGGTCCTGATACATCTTCGTGGCTCCTGGATGAATGTTCAAACTACTCTTGTGACCTTCTTCCAAAAACCTATTTTTAAGCTCTGGTACGTTTGACACACAAACTTTATCCCAAAACTTCATAATTCCATTCTCATTTACCTTGAAGTCAATTTCTTTACCCTGATTAATTAGTACCAATCAATCAATAAATCCAAAATCCAACATGTGACCTTCCTTGATTTCTTCTAGTACACTGCTAGTCAACTTCAGCATACCCAACTTCATACTTCTCGGCGTTATCTCACACACCAAGCTAATATCTCTAAATTGCTCAATCAAATCCATTTCTCTAACCATTAGCGTCAACATATTGGAAACTTCTGTGTTGGCCTCGTCGAAATGGTCAGCAATGAAGTTGGTAAAATTGGCTCATTTTGAGTTGAACCCAATAATGTTATAAGTATTGACAAAAGGATCGAATACGTTTTCTATGGTCGAAGACCAGTTATAGAAGCTACATGGAACAATGTTGGCGTAAGCATACCACAACAAAGTTGGAAGGTGTTCGTCGAACCCTCACAAAAGTGGAGTGCAGACAGCAATATGTTCTTGTTATACGTAGGGCCTACCATAGATAATTGGATAAGGTCTAAAAGACCTTGATCCTTCTAAATTTTTCCTTTCGTGGACCCTACCTTATTTAGTCAACTAAGATAGTTCAATTGATTGGTATAAGGAGCAGAACAAAAAACACGAGTAGTCATATAAGTAAAGTCTAGGGGTTGATCCATGGCTGCTAAAGTTTTTATTCGATGGTAACAGGAAAAATTCACTAACCCTAGCTACATTTGTGTTTGGCTCAGGGAAAGGGACAGAGGAAACATGTGTAACATCAGAAATGGTGAAAGGGATCAATACTTGTGATTCCCCTGCTCATAAACGTACAATTAATTCCTAATGAGAGTAGGATTAACGATAGATGTAGCCACAGGAACCTCTGGTTTAATCTTGATTTAGAAGCTATCTGAGTGAGCAGAATTTGAAGTCATTTTGCAGAAAGGAACTTTAAATTTTCGTATAAAATGAAGGAAGTTGGAAGAAAATGGAAAAGAAAGACTATTTATAGTTTTTAGAGGAAATTGCTCAATTTCTTTATTTTTCTTTGAAAGAAAAATAAAATCAAAAAAAATTTTGACAGTTGTCCAACTAAAACTGAGAAAGTGGAAAGTTAGATTTTGTGCATGACCCACATCTTTCTTGGGAACTCTGAGCCATGATGATTTTTTCTGAACCTACACGTTTTGAAGAGACATTATAGGGAGTAGCAATGATGACAGTGACGCCAGTGCACAACTTTGAATAGTGGTGTAACTTCAAAAATGCCATCTGTCTCTCAAAAATGAATTTTTTGGGGGCAATCTGTTAGCCAAACAAGTTCAAAGAGGAAATTCAACAGAGAAACTAACTGAATATTCTGCAAACACAAGGTTAAGTCAAAAAGCTTTTTGACTAGATATTTTGAAAGAAGAGATAGTAGCATTCGACTTCGAAGAGTCTGGTTTAGTACTAAGTAATATTTTCAAGAGGTTTAGGCACTTACAAAATTCGACAAATCAAAGGAGTTCAATTGTAAGCAGATTCAAATCTCTGACGTAACTGTCTTTTGGTCTTATTCAAAACGCCAAGGATACGTGGAGACCAATCGAAGGCTAGCCAGACATACATAAATGATGTGTCTGATGGAAAGGCATTTGAACATTAGAAAATTGTAAGTCTCGTAGCATTATAAATAGGAATTTTAGCGTTAGGATCCAGGGTGACAAAAAGTCATTACAAACTTTAATATACACTCAAAGTACACGCACATAAGAGAGAAACGAGTTTTTTTGAAGAAATGTATTTTCTTACCACTTTTACTTTTATGAAAGTAAATTTTCTACTTAATTTACTTTTACTTGCTTTTGTTTACTATCCAAGCAATTAAGTTCGACCTAGTCAAAATAAGTTGTTGCATTTATTTTCAAAACTTCATTATCTTACTAAAGTAACCAACATTTGATATGAACAATTCGACCACAATGAAATGCACATTTTTCTTTCTCAAAAACTTAGCATAAACTTCCATAGAATTTATTAGGTTGGTCCTTCAAATGATAAACTTAAAACTAAGTGATTGTTTATCAAAAATACTGGTGAACGTCCTGCTATACTCCTCTGGTACCATAAGCAGAACCTAGGCGTTGTGAACTTGATGGTTGTGAACCATCAAAGAGTTATCATTAACTTGTGGCCTCGTCGTCGTAGCTGCGGTCCTCTCAAATCATATCGACGTGGTTTGGGACACACGTCCCAGCCTGACTCTACCAGTGTTGTTTTCGGCATTATTATCAGTCATTGCACATGTGTTATAAACCGACACAGAGATAAAGAGTATGTAAGTACAAATCCACAAAATCTATAAAATCTGCCAAATTTTAATCGGAGTCCAATTTGGAGATTCATCTCCGAAAATAGTACTGAAACAATTCAGAGATGCATCTCCGGACAAAGTTGCGTTTCTCAGCCATGGGAGAAACACCATTGCAGTCTTAACCCTCCAAAAATTAATCAATACATGTTCTTCTAGCCTACCAAATTCATTTACAATGTTGGCTAATGTATCTAAAACAACTAATGTAACTTAAAAAAACTAACTATAAATCAAAACATAAAAAGAAAACAAAATTTTAAAAATTTACCAAATGAAATTGATGAGAAGGAGAAGGTTGAATGTTATTAGATGTTGGAAAGAAGAAAGAGCTCCAGTGATATAAACTTGAATGAAAGAATGAGATGTGTCAATAGTTGTGAGAGCTCAAATGTTTTCTTTAGAACTTTTAAGAAATAGTGTGTACGAAAGAATGAGATGTGTCAATAATTGTGAGAGGTCAAATGTTTTCTTTAGAACTTTTAAGAAATAGTGTGTACGAAGATGTTCATGTGCACTTTTGGTGCTTACAGATATGAATCTCTGAATTCTCATTTCATATGAAAATGACTTTAAATCTGAATTATATTTTAGCATAATAGGGTTGTCTCATTTCATATGAAAATGACTTTAAAATAGATGTGCCAGAAGATGCAGGAGGATATTTTAATCTTTTTACAGTGGTGCGAAAGAACACATACAGGTGGAAAGAGCAACTCTTTTATAGAAACCCATAGCTTCATCATACATATACAAAATTCAAAAACACATTTTAGAAATCGATTTAATCATTCACAAAACCATATAAACTCATATTTATAGATCCCAAATACATCATTTCTCGTATCGTCTCCTCTTCTTTGTCTTCCTCAAACCCAAATACACCATTTCTTGTGTCATCTCCTCCTCTTCTTCTTCTTGTTTGCATATTTTCTCCTTCGTCTTCCTTTTTTATATATATCTTTATTGATGTTAATGTTTCCACTTCGTTACCTCCACTCAATCGACACTATCAATGGCAACCTCATCCTCTACACCTTCAACCCCGATGTCTTCTCCTGTGAAACCCTTCTTCACAAACCCTACCACAAGAAACTTTTTCCAACGACTAACTCGTCATTCAAGACTCGTGAAATATAATTAAAATACACAATAAAAAGGTAAACTTGAAAAAATAAATTTTATTATCCAGCCCTTCCTTTATTGCATATAAACCATTTATTTACAAGAAAATAGTCTCTCCCCAAAGGGAGAGAATCATGGTGTTAGCAAAGAGAATGTTACATGAACTCTCCCCTATGCTCCACTTTCTTCCTTGTACTATAATTTTTTACATGATATAGATAAAGCAACAAACAATACAGAAAAAGCAACCAAGGGTCAGTAACCTGAACACCAAACCAATCTACAAAAGTCACATCACATGGTGCATTGCTGTTAACACCCCCTACCCCTCATATTAAAGGAGAAGGCATGTTTCAGGGTGATGCTTGAGCTGTTGTTGGGACCAATATGCATGAGCAGTAAGGACCCTATCCAAAAGTTCTTGGGGGACAGGCTCACCTCTTCTCTGTTGAGGAGATATTCTTGCTGTGTGTACCAATGTTTTCCATTTATCCTGCATTATCCCATACCTATATCACATGCCAGCCCTTTTTTTCTATGCTATATAAGGGGAAAAAATCAAAAAGATATATTACAAAGAACAATTTCAATATGAACAAATTTTAGCAGGTTTTGAACATGGCATTTGTTGGGAGAAATCAACCCCTTAATCTTGAAAAATTAGTCTTTGCAGTTGCTCGCGGGAATACTATAATTTACTATCAATGGAGCAATAAATAGCTTACCTAATAGATAACCAGTTTACTTGCCTTGTTAGAACAGCTAAGTTGTATTTTTATAGAAGTTAACAGATCATGCAGAAGAAAGCATGCTACTAAAACGACTTCAAGTGTAATAATCACATTGTATTTAAGATTCGTTTGTATAAGAATACTATAAGTTTCAATAATAAGAAATAAGAGTGTTGCTATATATGCAAAAGGGTGACAGAAGCTTTTTACCTTTAAATCCACATATGTCCTATGCTTTGCCTCATCAAATGCGCGAAGTTTAACATCACGCCACCTGATTTTTTAAGGACAGTTTCGTAAATTAATAGAGCCGTGCATGTGGTTGATTAAGGACTCACTTGTGTAAAACGAGCTTATGAAAATAAACTGAACTAAAAATATATATACTATTGTAAAGCTTACCTTCCGGTTCCGAGTCTCTCGACTGCTTCAACCAGTGCCTCCACTTCAGCAACAGAAAATGGCCTACGAATTCGTCGGCGTTGTGAGATCTCAGTTCGCTTTGGCTTCTGGTGACTCTGGTTCACCGGAAGTATATTTAGTCCCTCCGATCCCATTTCAGGGATAGTAACAAGTTCTTTGGAATCTGACAGTTTTTTTCCACCTAACGCATTGATAGGAGAAGGTGCTGAATCATTATCACTTTCAACAATGTTAGCTAAAGTCGTTACTTGATGGTCGGTGTCAGAGAAACCTTGAACCCTTTGAATCGGAAAAACTACAGCAGGACTCGAAGGATGCCTGAATATTAATTCTCTCGTTTTAGATAAAAAGATAATGATAATAATAACAGCAACAACAACCTTTCGATGACAACATCTCCAAGGAAAATTGAGATTTCAACAGAAACACTGACACAACGTTTTCTTTTTAGTAGGAATCAAACTTGGTACCTTTGGGTTTAAAACACTCACACACACTGCGCACCAACCACCTGCGCTACTAGACCTCGATGGTACTGACACAGCATATTCTAGTTCAAGTAGTTGGGATAATAATGCAATCAATTGCAAGTTAGGCATTACCCTATTAAAGATAGAGGCATGTCTCCACTGGGAACATTGAGAGAATCTTTAGCACATGTGAGTGGTAGGCTTTGAGAAGCACTAGGTTCCAAGGTGAATCCCAAAGCATCAAGCTCGTTATCGTGAGAAATTCCAGTCTGAAGTAGAGTTTTACTGTCATCTTTAAGTTTCTTTCCATGGAGAATCATACCAACACGCAATCCGCCTCGAAGTAGAGTAGTCACTGCCTCCATCACTGCTTTCTGCAGACCAAAATTTTATGTGAACTACGCAACAAGGATCATAGAACATGACTAATAAAGCGGACAAGAATACATAGAACTTCATTGTACCTTCAAGGATGCGACGGTAGCAGTTTCTGGAATCTCGATAAAAAGTTCTGGCACTCTAAATGATTTGATCCTAAGCTTCACTGATTAAAAGAGAGACATCTTCGTGTAAGAATTTGTTTGAAGATATCAATCAAGTCAAAGAGCAATAAAAAAAATTGCACTCGATCTTCACATACCATGAGAGTCTCTAGATTGTATAGTAGAACGATGATGATATGCTTCCAAGGATGACTTTCCAGGATCTGCATAAAAGATTTGGAATTTATTCAGCAAAATACGGTGCCTTGAATAGGAAGGTTGCATTAATTAAGAGTGAAACCTTTGCGCATCCGAGATGATGAACAAGAAACGCCTTGATTGATGTCATTCTTAGTTGAATAATAAGTGCGGCCACTTCTGATATTTCCATTAGAATTTGAAGTGGAGCTGCAATCAAAAATCTTCCTCTTTTTGAAAGGAATATTCATTTGAGATATTTGGTGACTATAACTGTTCTTCCTGCCGTTGTAAACTGTGTTGAAATTTCTATCCAAAACTAACATGTTTCAAAATCATAAAAAAGATCAGTAAGCAAACAAATAGAAGCACAATAAGTGAAGAAACAAAAAAAGCCAGTAATCCATATAATAATTAGGCATGACCTAACTCACCATTGTTAGAAAGTGTATCATGCTTTGATTCTCGAGCAACTTTCCGATATTTAGAAGCCAACCTTTTCCTTATTCTTTGATCACCTATACAAGTCTTTGGCCTAAAGGCCTTAGTTTTTGAACTAGGGTGAGCACACTCTGATTTGTTTTCGTCATCATCTCTACAAACTACTGTTACATTGTCACAACCTTTTAACAACGAGCTACGAGTCATGCTATCGTCGCGTCCTGACAACTTAGCATTTCCACCTGAAACGACCAGCGCCGGAGGTTTATCATCTATTGGATCCTTAAAACAGCATGTTTCACTCTCGGTACCAATCGGCATCTCAGATTTTTGGAGCTCATCTTTTACTATACTTACATCAACATCTAAGTTGCAATCACTACAATCTGGAAATCCAGAGGATCCTAATTCAACTTTGCTAGTAATACTTTTCATTTCACTATGGCTTTTTACATCCAACAAAGTGTCGGTAACCAACCTCTCCGATAAACTAGAACTTGTTAATATAGAAGCAATGCATGAACGACCTTCAATTTCAGAATGCGGGCTATCTTTCAAACCTGAATTCAGATCATGCTCTTGTAAAGAAAGAGTAGAGATACATTTCCTGTCACTACTTCCGTCATCAGAAAGCTCGGCTTTTAACGGCTTATTTATATCCACACACCCTTCCTTAACAAACCCTTGTTGAAGCCTTCTCTCACAACTTGCTTCATCAGGAAGCTCGGCTTTGAATGGTTTATTTCCATCTTGGACTTCTTCTTTAACAAATCCACGCTGATCTTTTTTCAACGATTCATCACTAGATGTGATTGGATTCTGTTTCTCTTGCAATAGAGTGCCGGATGCTACGGTGGCCAATAAGTCAATCGCGCACATTTGATTGTGTTCCGCCCTTGTTTGAAATGTATCCCTCTTCTACGAAACATCATCAAAAAAAAATTATTTACATAGAACATTTTGATAATCATGAAAATAAATAGATAGTACATAATCAGCACCATAAGAGAAGCAGAACTTCTTTACCCTAGTTGATCGTGCGGCACGCGGCTTCGTTGGCACCTGATAGCCAACAAATCCATAATCTATCCTCTGATGCGTCACCATATCTCGGAAAACATGCCAAAATAAGGAATGATCAAATTAACTTCTACGCCACGTCTTGCTCAACCCTACCAGTCTCAATTTGGAAGCCTGCATTAAACACGCAATCGCGATGTCTCAGACGCATTATGGCAAGCGGATACAAATAAAGAATTATGTTACTAATTAGGTTGGCATGTTGTGAATGACAAAGCATATTGTATGCAAAGATCATCAAATGAAAAAAAAATTTATATAATACCAAAATGTTAAAACCTTTGGGCAGAGGAGTAAGAAATAAACCCAGATACAGAAGAAGACACAAAATGAATCAGCAGAGAGTAACATATAAATTTTAAAAGAATACATGATATCATATTCATACAGCAACAGTCTTCTAAAGTTGAAAAAGAACACGAGAAAACGATTCCAGAATCCAGACATATTCACGAGAAACAGAAGTAAGCAAAATTCAGACAAAAGTCACAGAACCGATCTTAAACCTAGGAAGAAAATGGATCTCATAAAAAAAAAAAAAAAAGAAAGAAATTCACTAAACAAAAGCAAAAAGAAAAAACCTACGAGGAGCAGCAAAATGGAAATCATAGATCAAATCATCACAAACTAGAACTAAAGAAAATGAAAGATCAACAAAACCAATAGAGTGCATATACGAAGATAAAGAGAGAGAAAGTAAAATAAAACGAAACAACTCACGAATTGTGTAAACTGTGTTCGTGTGTCCCAACAACACAAACAACACACGTCAAAAATTTCCAACTTGCTCCAGAACCAACGTTATCTCAAACCCCAAGGATAAACCCAACAGTTTTTTTTCTTCAATAAAACAAACAAAGTTAGCATAGGTTAAGGAAACAAAGGTTAAACACGACGATCACCTCTTAACACAGATTGTCGTTCAAAGATCAAATCTCAAACTCGTAAAAAAACTGAAACGTCGGAAAATTCAAGCAGAATGTGAGATCGGGGACATGAAAAAGGTTCACTCATTGAATTTTTTTATCGAAAAAAAACACATGAATTCATGTACCCATTTTGAAAATGGTTTGGTTAAGGTTGTTGGGTATGTGTTTGTGTTAATGTTTATGTTATTGTTTTTGTTTTCTCTCTGAATCTGAAAGTAAAACCCTGTGAAAAAACCACGACAGTTTTTGGCTTAAACCCCAAGAGTTTATAGCATTGACCGCGTGTAACTGGTTCTATCGGTGGTTATGCTAAAAACTACCGGATATAGCGGGTGAATGGTAAAGACACCTTTAGACCTGTTCCACGCAACTGGGTAGTAAAAGAGTTGGTTGATATGATGTTGACACGTGGAATGTGTTTGGATCTTGTGGCTGATTCTGGTCCGCATGATCGTGAATGACGCTTAGTCACTCGCATTTTCTTTTTTCTTTTGACATTTTTTGTGAAGAAAATTGACATTGGTTTGAATGTGATTTGTACTTGTGGGAATTTTTGTCAGTTCGGTTTATTACTTACATCAAGCACATGGTAAATAAATATTCTTTTTTATTTCAATGGGGATTGCGGAAAACTGCACATCAAATATTCTATTATTATCATTATTATTATTATTATTACTACTACTGTTGATTTGTTAATTATTCAGTCATGTTTTTACACAGCGAATAAAATTAAAATATGTGTTTTATAATATTAATATTAATATATATCAACTTTGTGTCCTGGGTCAACATCTTATTTATTTCTCAAACCTTACCTGTCCAAATATATTAATTACTATCATCTAATAAAAAATAAAAAATTCATCAATTGTCATACAACTAATTATTAATTATAAAAATTAATAATAAAATATTATTAATTTATTAATTAAATTAATATTAATAAATTTATTATCTTAGTCAATAAAAAAATTTTAAATTAATTTTAAATTAACCTGACAATGACGAGTTATCTTAAATAGCGACACTGTCATTGAAAAAACTCTCAAATTGAAAAAAAGACTAAAATTTAACTAAAAATTTAAAAAAAGACGAAAATCGTGGTTTTTAAAATGAGAGATTAAAATCTTTAAAAAATATAAAATATGGAAACTATAGTTGTAATTGATCTTATAAAAAAAATTACCTTTTAAATTCATTAAAAAATCAATGTATTTGGATTATACGTAGTTCAGATATGTTAATTCTTTGGACTATACGTAGTTCAGATACGTTAATTATTCAATGAATTTGAAAAAAAAATCTTATATTAAATACCAAAGGGGGTACAATCTAATTTAGTAGAAAGAATACGCCTCTAGTTAATATAATAAACAATAATAAAAAAAATCAAATTCATTGAATAATTAATGTATTCGATATATAATAATGACCAGATACATCATTTATTTAATGAAGTTAAAAAAAATGTATTGCTTATAATAATGACATGATGATTTACATGATAGATGAGTTATGTGTGACATTTACACCATTTATTATAAATTATAAAATGTTTTTTTTGACATTTCACAAAAATTAAAAAATATAATTCATGTTGTTTTAAAAAGAGAAGCTAAGTGTGAATTTACATTATTACTTTTTATCTATAATCTATAATCTAACATATATATATATATATATATATATATATATATATATATATATATATATATATATATATATATATATATATATATATATATATATATATATATATATATATATATATATATATAAAGGTAACACTTAGTTTTGATGTACCCTGTTTTTTTTATCAATTTTACCTTTAACATATATAAAGGTAACACTTAGTTTTGGTGTACCCTATTTTTTTTTACCAATTTTACCTTTATTTTAATGTATTATCCAATAATTTCTATTAAAAAAACTACTATTATTATTTTTCAGATAATTTCTTTTTATTGATTTCTTATTTAACTTTTATTATTAACCTTTTACATAATTTTTATTTAAAATTATATTAAAAACAAAAACTAATGAATCACAGTAAATTTAGGGTTTCTGAATTTGCTTTTAGATTTTTTTTTTTTATTCATTCATCATGTCTTGTGCTTCATGGAGTATTATTTAATTTATGTACTATTTATTATACTTAGGACCTTTCCTTTTATATTTATTATATCTTTGACTTTGCTGCTGTTTTTTTATTTTTTTTATTTATGGTTTTTAATTTGTTTCTCTTTTAGTCAAAATTTAGAGAAAAAAACATTTGCCTTGGAAATAACATATTCCAGATATTCTTTTTCTTTTGTAATATCTCAAGACTTTTCTTTAATCATTTTCAATGTTTTCTTTTTTCTTTTGTAATATCTCAAGACTTTTCTTTAATCATTTTCAATGTTTTGTTTTTTCTTTTTATATACTCAAGCTTTTATGTAATTTAGTCATTGAGAGTGTTATAAAAAAATATGATATCAAAAATAATAAATAATAAAGAAAGTTAATTTGTAAATGTGACCAACTTTTTGATATAATTTTTTTTAAATGTGATAAATATTATGGAATGGAATCAATGTCTAAGTAAGTGTAAATTGTTGGTTTAAATTGATTTATGGTTTAATCTCGTAATACAATATTTATATGTATAATGTATTAAGGTAAAAGTGAATTGACTGTACCGAATTTTTTTTAATAAGATGTATAATCACTTAGAATTAATGGACTTTATATTTCTTCAGTCAAACTATCTACTTATTAAAAAAATCAAATTTATTAAATAATCAATGCATTTAAACTATATAATGGATTACATATATTGATTATTCAATGAATTTAAAATATCAATTTTCTTTTATAATTAGGACCCCAAGAAATAAATAATAAAAGTTATATTGAGAAAAATGTAATTAATATTTTATTTAAATTATAAAGTGACTTATAATTTAAGACAACTTTTTTACAAAGTGATTTATAATTTAAAATATATAGAGTAGTTGATCCTATAAAATTAATTTATATTGTGAGTGGATATCTCATTTTTTTCATAATTATTTATTAAATTTTAAAAGTAAACTTTCTCATAAAATTAAAAAAATAAATTTTACATTAAATTTTCTATTGTTCTCTTTATAAATGATTTTCAACTATATTATGAAAATTGATAGGGATAGTAAATGTAATGAATATATTTTTCTCTCAGTTTCAAATTATAAGACGTTTTTGAATATTTCACATAAATTAAAAAATATTATTTTGGATTGTCCCAATGGCTAGACATGTCTCAATCTACTTATTCTCCTAAGACAGCTCAATAGCCTTCGTCCTGCCAGCTAAGAGCAAAGTGAAGTTTCCTCTCCTCGGCCCCTCTGCCGAAGAAAGTTGGTCAGGTGACCCCCAATATCAGCTGCCCCTCGTCACATTTCTGCTTGTCGTGCACGGTTTTACCATCCAGAAACAGCCGCGACGTTCGTGCCCGCGACGACGCCCTTGCCCCATGGAAACGACTAGTTTCGAGCAGCTCTACCCGTTGCAACGGCTAGTTTTGAGCAGCTCGGCCCGTCCCAATGGATAGTTTCTTACAGTTACCTATTATTCAGGGAGCGGTTATCTCGCCCCGAAAATAAAGACCAATGGCCAAGCGCTAGGGGCACTATAAAAACCCTCTCACTTGAGAGGGTCATGTATTCTAATTCATTACACATCATCATAAGACATACACTTTTGGTACTTGCCTCTCTTTGTCTGATTCTTACTTTAGCATCGGAGTGTCTTGCAGGTACACCCCCCTCTACCTCATCCTTGCAACTCAGCACCACCGACAAAATCTCTGGCCCACTTCAGGTTCTAATCAACAGTCAAGATCAGTGGCACTGTCTATGGGAACCTATGTTTCCCCGTTTTCTTCTCCCATGAATTCAAGACCAAAGTAGTTCTTTCAAGATTCCGATCATGGTCAGCCGTGACAACATCCGCGATGCCCGCAATGTCATCCTCCCCGTCAGCAAGACAGACGTTGACGGAGCCACCCCCTTTCTTGGAAGCGAGGTCCATCAGTAGAGAGATAGAGCCACCACATCTCCTTCCCCCGATCAC